GTAGTTACCCTCTTTCCTTTTCATCCTTGATATTGTAGGAAATTGAGAACAAATATGATTAATGCGGTTGCAATTACAGTTGTGAACCGTTTTTTAGAACCTTCAAGAACAATTTCTGTGATCATTGTTGAAGGTTATTTTAAAACTTTCGCGAACACTGAGCTATTTAAGTTTGACCCTGTTTGTTGTTTGCATAAACTTCATCTTAAGCACTTAAGAAAAAAACATAAGAATTAAGAAGAAAAATGAAATAAACTATTTTATAAGCTTACGCATATACTAAAATTGGCTTTTTGAGAAGTTAAGTGAGACAAATTTCTCCAAAAGTTTGTATTTGGTGTTAAACGAGTAGTTTTATTCATTTATTTTATTTTATTTTTTATTGAGTGCACTTTTGTTGTTTCTCAGTGCAAATTTGAAGTGTCCCCAAACAGCTCCTGCAAAGTCAAGGGTGTCAAGGATGAACTATATTTCCTCGCTGTCACACAAGATGACCGACAACAATGTGAAAAAGAAACCCCTTCCCAAGGTTGCAGCAACCCCGAATGCTAGGGTGAAACAACCACCTTCGGTGACCAAGGCCTTGACTACTCCGAGGAATCATCAGAAGAAGGTTTCCAACGTGGAACAATTTAGAAGTGTTCAGAGCAAGAAAGCCTTGACTGTCGGTGTGCCTAAGAGCAAAGTGGTGGCTAAGGCTCTTGTTTTTCACTCACCTAAGAAGGTGGTGAAGATCAAGAGTTCTATAGAATTGAAAACACCAATGAGAGCACTGTGTTCAGCAATGAGGAAGCTTGAACTCAATGGAGTGAAGAAGAATGGAGAAGGAAGTAGCAACTTGTCAGTGACTAACTCCAAAAAGCAATTGAAGGGGCGAGAGGTTAAAAGCCGTGTGTTTGATTCCTTGTATTCTAATAATCGCAAGGAACCGGAAACTAACACTGCGACAAGTTTGAAAGAGAAGAAAGTGAAAAAAGAAGGCATGCAGAAACGCCAGGTTACTGTGAATAGTGAGAATGACTCTAGTGATATGGAGATGGATGAGAAATCAAGGTGTGCCTCACTAGAAAGATGCCATGAATCAACTTCAGGAAATGGGAGTGAACTTTCTCTAGGAGATGAAAAATCCCAAGAAGCAACAAGAGGAGAGAGTTCAGTTCTAGTTTTGAAAGAAGCTTCTAGAGATGACATTACCTTACTGTCTAGTTGCAAAAATGAAGAGAACAAGAGTACAGAAAGGAGTGAAAATGAAGAGAGTGGGAAATCAGTTTCAGATAAGGGAAAAGTTTCGTCAGTCAGGAAGAGAAAGGCTGAAGAAAATTCATTGGCTTCTGATGACAAAGAAAATGAGACGCAATTCATTGAGAACGTTGACAGGGAAAATGCTTCAGCCCCTCATGAAAACATGTAAGGAATTTGATTTCTCTCAAAATGTCTGTCTCTCCTGTGTTCGTTAAACCTCATGAAATCAATAATTTGTTGGTGGCTGCAGAGTGACGAATACTAATAATGATAACCGGCAAAAGGCTATGCTTGGGAGCAACCATGAGGATTCAAGAAAAACACATAAGGTTTGGTCTACTTTAGATTAATGTTACATTCAGTCCCACCTGCTTCAATGATTTCACTATAATATTTATTCTTTTTTTCCTCTTGAAACAGAAATCTACATCGACCTCAACTGTTTCTCAAGTAATAAAGTACAGAAAATTAAAGACCACAAATCCTAAGCCGTTTAAGTTGAGAACTGATGTAAGTAAGGGATCAAGGATCCTGTTTTAGATGGTTTATTTGCTTTAGAAACAAGTTGTTTTAATTAAGTGTAAGATTCTTGTTATTTCTTTTTATGCTGCAGGAAAGGGGAATTCTTAAAGAAGCTAACCTGGATAGAAAAATTCCCTCGCCTTTGAAAGAAACCACAGTTAAAGGTAGTGGCAAGGCTATGAGGAAACATCACAATGCAAACCGAGTGAGTTCAGTTCCATTGTGAACCTCAATTTTTACTTCTATTTATTGGCATCGAATATCTAACATTTTGCTATTTTACTTTCAGAAAAGTGAAACTTGTTCCACAAAAAGTGAACAAGACACTGATAATTATAGCAGCTGTGATGAGAAAACAAACCAAACAACACAAGAAAACCAATCTGTAAGTTCACTATCACCTATAAATATTGCTCCTTAAAGTGCATTTTAGAGACAGTGGCTAAAACTTCCCAAAACGTTATGTAGGGGAGCATTCAAAGTGACAACTCCAACTGCAAGGTGCAACGCAAATTATCTGCTACAACACCTCATAGAAATCCTCCTTGTTCTAAACTTCAGAAACCGGTTGATGAGAAAGACACTCTAAAAAGAAAATCCCAAATGATGCAGCCTAAAATTATAAGGCCTCGAAGGTAAGTAATAATCAGATTGTCACAAACATATTGTCTTTGCATTGAGTATCTTTGATTATAATGGAAATGTCTATTTTGCAGTGCCTTGGCAAGGAAGAAGGAAAAAGTTGTCATTGCAACAAAACTTAGTGTTATTATTGAAAAGCCAAAAGAAGCAGCAAAGACAGGTTCATCACCACTTACAAGTAAAACTACGGGTTCCACTCATAATAGGCCTTGCTCACGGGGAAGGAGGGCCTTAACTGTTCCCAAGGAACCAAAATTTCAGAGTCTACATGTGCCAAAGGGATGCACCACAAGGAAACTCACTTAGGAGCTCTATTGTTTAATTTCATTTTTATTTTTTATTATTTTTTTAAGGGGGCCGGGGGGACGGTTGTTCAATATCATCATTGAATTTTTAGCGGCTTTGGTAAAATCGATCATGTATAATAAGGTGTATTGTTGTATGTAACTTGCTAGTTTTGTCTAGACTGTATTGGCTTCTGTTTGATTTGATTATTTTTTTATTTGTAAATGTATAATTTGGTTAACGTGGCATTTTTACTATGACAATGAAGAGAACTTTTTGATTTGTATTTGTATGCATGAAATTTGGTTATTGTAGCGTGTTTTTTTTATTAAGAGAACTTTGTAAGTGCTTGTTTGAACCATTTTAGTAATGTGGATCAGATACTTTCTCATCACATCTCTAAAATACACAAACACTTTCATTAAAACAATCATGAAGAGTTTACCCAAAAAAAAAAACGTTTACAAAAAAATAATCATGAAGAGAACTTTTTAAGCACATGTTTGAAATCAATTTAGTAAGGTGGATCAAATACTCACCACACATAATTATGACAATCATGAATAAAACTTTTTAAGCGCATCTTTGAAACCAATTTAGTGGATCAAATTCTCTCACCACATCTAAAATATGCAACAATAGCTTCCATTAGATGTATATCTGTTTCAATTGAATGCAAAAGCAAACATGCCGCTAATCATTTGTACTACTAGACTTTATCGGCTTAAGTTTTAATTTGTGTAATAAGATGATTGCTTTTTGGTGTACAACATTATTTGGTACTAAATTTATTTATTGGATAATCATGCGAGTTAAGAGATTAAGAAAAATTAGAAAAACTGAGCAAAACTTATTGCAAGCAATAAATATGGTTTAACCTGGTGTTTTTATTATGACAATGAAGAAGACAAGCTTTGAGTTTACATGGGTATATATAGTCAGTCTATTGAAATGCATGACCACTTGCAATATTTTGCTTGTAAGACAACAAACTGGTGATAGATAAATGTTGGACCATTTGATTTTAGTCTGTCGCCCAAGTGCAGCCGTTTTTCTTCTTTGCTGGTCCACTCACTTCAGTCCCCTTTGTTCTTGATTATGTTTTTTAATTTCTCGTTTGCAGCCACAAGTTCAGCAGTTATGCCTGGTTCATTGGCTGAATGTCCTGCATCTGGAACAACCTGTTTCAACGTATGATTCAGTAACTTGACCAAGTTTTGGCCTAGATCATCCGGAAAAACTTTTTTTTGTTTAACTGCTTGTATGAATTTCTTGATAAGAAGAACCAAAATTGTAGAAAATGAGACTTTAAAGATTATCATAGATAATTATCATATCATGCAGAAAAAAACAAGCGTAAGCAAGACAAATGATCAAAAGCAATATTCTAGTCTCACCTTAAAATCTGCCTCTGGCCAAGCTTTATGAAGATCCCAGGCTGACATCATAGGACAGCAAACATCATATCTTCCCTACAAAGTTAAGATTGAAGAACATTAGAGTTTATATTGCAAAGGATGCACTACAAAGTTATTTACCTGCACGATTGTGGTGTTGATATGCCTTATTTTATCAATTCTGTCCAACAGGAATGAATCAGAGGGGAAGAATCCCTTATTCACAAAATAGTGGTTTTCAATCCTTGCAAATGCCTGATGGAAAAATATAAGTATTTGTCATCACTCATCAATGCAACTTAAAGAATCTCAATCATATACAATCATAAAATCAATGCAACTTTAAAGATACAATCATAAATCAAATCCTAAATTAAGGGAAAATATTATATACTTGTTTTATGTATGCATTCTTTTCTTTATTTAAGTAAACTGTACTTGACTTGGGATTGTCTAACTTTACAAATTTTAATATGACAGACTACAAGTTCAAAATGGCTAAAAAAAGATGGTACTTGAAGGGCTCTGAACAAATAAGCATTAAGATATAGAAGCACGGTGCTCAGGCTCAGGATACAAAACAACCCGTTTGGCCACTTCTTTTCCTCATTTTAGAGATCAAAGATTTAACTATTTCTCTATAAGGGAGAAAAGATTTTCCACAAACAATAACAGAATTCAAGAACACCCCCCAAAAAATACCAATATCTAAATGCAACGGAGATTTGTACAGTCTGTGCACTTCAAATTTTAGAAAACACAAAAGTAACCATATAACTGTCATATATTATCTTATAACAATTCCATTTGAATCAAAGTTTTGCACAAGCAATGCCATATCATTCTCAACCATACAGCAAAATTGACAGATTTTGGGAATTTAAGCATTACAAATTCTGGAACTTACACAATATATTGTTATAGAATTTCAAAAGTGATTATCAAACATTTTCTGGCCAAAATTCATGTTAGTCTTCACTTGTTGAGCTTACCAATGAAAAGTAATCATCATCCCCTTTTTTGATATTATCTTCATTTGGAAGAAGATGAGCAGTCATCATTTCCCATTTGGTCCATGCTCTAGCAGCTGCATACTAAGAACAAAGACATTGGTAAGTGAACAACAGAAATTCTGAACTCATTGATAAATCATATTTAAAAAAGTGCTCTTTTAGAAAAGGGTTGATCTCTTTTGCAAGGATAACAACCAAAGTAAAAAATATCTTGGCAGGATATAGACAAAGGGAAATGAAAAGAAAAATTCAGGACTTCCACTTTTTTTACAATTAATAAAGAGACTAATCCCTCAACCCCCTTAGTTAAATAGAAAACCCCATGCGTAAAATGGCACTCAACTTCTCAATATTATAGATAACCCAGTCAGGCAACAAACTCATAGATAAACTCGTTATTCCTGATTTCAGAAAGGAGGCTTAGTTGGTATGGTTGATGATAGACTTCTATACTGGTTCAACTATCTTCAACTCTGTGTACTAAATTCTAAGAATCAGGACAAAAAGATGGAACAGTAGCTCTGAAACCAAACTAATATTTGTTATGATTATGGGTGGAAAAGGTAAAAGGAAAGCTAAGAAAACCAGACAGACACTAACCTGAGTGTTGATATCATCAGAATTTAATCTCTTCTTATAGGCATCAATGAAGCATCCTCTCTCACTTTCTGGAATGAGATCTCTAAAGGGCTCCCAAGCTGACATGAGACAAAACACACAAATATTAACCACTTAAAAGTCAGAATTTTAATGAGCAGAAAGTCAGATATCACAATCAAATCAAATATGAGATTATGTAAAGCTACAATGAAAAACACCTAATTAAAAAAATATAAAATAAAATCAAGCGATCATAAATATTGCTTCTCATTTCATTCCCATTGGAAACAATTTTAGTTCCCACATGCAAAAAAACATCCATAACCAAAAGCTGAGATAAAATTCCATGTATCAAATAAGCCAAAACCTCTTCAAGTCATCAAAAGGAAACCTGATTATGTATGTATGGAAAATGTTCAAACTGAATTCACCAGAAAAACAGATAAAAGGACAGTTTTATACCATCAGGAAATATAGCAGCAGCGCCACCCTCATAAAACCAATCAATCTCTTTCTTCCTTAAGAGGAAAATTCCCCTAAGGATCATGCCAGTAACCTTGTAACAAAATGATCGAATATTTTAAAAAGTGAACAACAACATATCATGGAAAAAAGAGAGTAAGAGACATTATTTTGATATAGTAAAAAATAAACTAATCAAATAAGAAACAAAGTTATACACCTTGTCTGGATGAGATTGGCTGTATGCAAGGGCAAGTGTGCTTCCCCATGATCCACCAAATACCTGCATATTATATGGAGCAAAAGCTCATATCCTATCATATAAGAATCAGAATACGTATAATGGTAAACACAATCAGTGGTGAAAAATGACCTGCCATTCTGGAATCTCCAAGTGTTCTCTTAGCTTTTCAATGTCATCAATGAGGTCCCACGTGGTGTTTTGCTCTAAGCAAGCATGGGGTGTGCTTTTCCCTGCACCTCGCTGATAAAGAGAATAATTATCATTTCACAAAAGCTAGGGAGACCATTATTGAATTCCAGTTCAGAAACTAACCTGATCGAATAGAATGATTCGGTAAAAGTCGGGATCAAAAAATCTCCGGTTGCTTGGGGAAGTTCCCCCTCCAGGGCCCCCATGAATGAAGACAACCGGCTGCCAGAAAAATGCTTAGGAAATGATGAATCATTTTTTTTCTTTATTTAAATTTTCCCCTCTTAAAAAAGTTAAATAAATTCAAATAACCAAAGCTTCTATGCATAGAATCTAGATTACATAAAGGAAGAAAAATGCTTAGATCCAACCACACATGCATGTATAACTACAACAGGCAAAACCTACCGTCAGACCACAATGACTTCCAATTTTCCTTTTCCTCTTTTTGACTTTCTATTCTATATTACATGGTAATGGAATTGGATATATTTTACCAAGCTCTTAGGATTATTAAGGAACCCACAAATATCTCACAAATTCCCAATAACACAAAGGTTAATGTGAACATGAACTACAGAGAGTGGAAGTTGATTACATGAGGCTAAAAGGATCAATTTAACATTACAGTTCATTCAGTTGCATCAATAAACAATCTACATAGAACCACTAAAAAATAACCCGTTGCCTCCCATTCCAGTCTTGATCAACCAACATACAAATATAAAGCCTATTGCATAGCTTAAAAACTTAGAAAAGTAAAAGAGATATAAAAACCAAAAATTGAAGCCATTGTGGGGGGTGATTGACAATTGGTACTCACATGGCCACTGGGGTTTCCCGATTGCTCCCAGTAGATTGTGTGAAGATCTGAAACCTTCAAAAAACCAGTACCATAGGGTTCTATTTGCGGGTAAAGATTTGTGTTCAGTTCCGGGAATTCCTTTTGTGAAGCCATCAAATAACTATTATCAATGCTTTGCACACGAAAAACTAAACTCCTTGTTCCTGCGCGTCACACCAAGAACACAAATTTTAGAAGACCCTTGTTAGATGAATGAAACAAGTGAGGCACTAATTCATAAACTAAATAAAGAAAGACAAAAAAGTGTAGAGAGAGAGAGAGAGAGAGAACCTGAAGAAATGGTTTGGGTTTGGTGATGAGAGAATGAAAGTGAGATGGGAAGTTTGATAAATAGGGAAGGCAAAGGCAAGGAATAGAGGGTGTTTGGAATAAAACGCAACTTCATTCTTGTGTTGTGTGGGTTATCATTATCAAACTTCTCTGTGACAGTTATTATCACTTTCCAATCGCCACTTGGCATCTCACTCAAATTCTGTCATCCAATACTTGTTCTGTTGTTCATCTCCTCCTGTCTTTTCTTTCTTACAAATTAGTTTCGATTCGATGCAAACAAGGCAATTATGCTTTTCATAATGCCTCTTTATTATTTGTTAATCACTCTTCCTTTTTTGAGATGCTCGTAATCAAGTATTTAAGGCCTACATATTTTTTTTTAATCTTAAATTTATATTAAATTATCTCTCATCTCTCAAATTTAATAATGATTGTTTTAATTGTGTAATATAAAAGTAGTTCATTTATAGTATTTAATTTGCCATCTTTTAGTGCACGATAAGGATTAATAAGTTGATTATTTTTTTAATAAAGAAGAATAAAAAAAATTGTTTTATAGTTGAGGCACTAACTTAGAATATACTATAATCAAAGTCATGTAATTGGTTTCACTAGGAGACAAACTAATTGTATTAAGTTTTTAGTCACCATATTTTTTATTTGATTCTTACTTGTATTGAGAGTCTTATTCTCAATAAAATAGTATGTCTTTTTCTCTCTATCTCATTATTTATTGTATTTTAATTTTGTCTTTCTCTATCTTGGTTTGTAGAATTATTGTATACATATCATTATTTTTCGGAATTATACAAATTAATAGAGCAAATTAGTCTGCTAACACAAAATAATTCACAATGAATTACTATTATATTCAAACAAAAATACCAAATAAATAAATAATATTCACACCCTAATTAAACAGCATGATGCAAAATGGGAAGAAACGAGAAATGAAAAGGTGAAGGTGAGCTTGAGGTTTTTTTTTTGAGTGGACCGGGCAAAACACCCTAGACCAACAAACTAATTATAAATAAATTGAGAGGTTATTACAATGCCATCCTCCATAAGGAGGTTCAAAGCAAAAATAGGAATAGATAAAAATAAAAAAAAACCAAAAACCAAAAACAAAAAACAACAACAACATTCTGATTGTAAGTATAACGCATGTTTTAACATGATTAAAAAAAAAAAAATCTCAAACTCTTGGCTGAGGAAGGTAATCTCTGACACTAACTCATGAAATTGAATATCCTTTGAACAATCATTTGTGACCATTATCATCCCATGAACGATGGTCATAACTTTGCCTCCAAACTAGAACAGAAAGCTATTGTTCTACTATAGAATTGAACAAATTCATCCTTATAATCACGAACAACTTCAACACATGTAGTTACAGTTGTTGTATGAAACACAATCCCATCACTATTTAGTTTACCAAAATTTGTTGGTGGAGGGCGCCAATAAACGGATCACGGTGAGGTAGTAACCATATTATATATAGATCATTTAGATTTAAATTCATCGATATTAATTGGTTTGAGTTGATTCAAGTTTTTTTTTAAGAAAAAAAATATGATAATTTGAACGGAAATGATTTAATTATATTTGAATAGATTTAGAGGTTGACAAATCTATCAATAAAATAATAAAAATTGACAATAAAAGATAAACAAAATAGAAATAATAATAAAATGAAATAAAATTAATGAATAATCTTTAAAGTAATAATTACAGAAGTACATGATATTAAAAAAAAACTAAAATACTTCTAAAATAATACTACTTCCATTCTTATTTATAAAATTCAACTTTAAATAATTATTTATTTATTTTTATATAAGATTCAATTCATGTTATCTTATATATTTATTATTTTTAAACTAGAATACTCATAATTAAAATATGTTATCTTATTTTTTATAAAATGAATTAATTACAAAAAATTTTAAAGAACATATATTTTATTTGGCCAGAAGAAAAATGAATATTAATTAAAAATAATAATAGAAGACATGCACTCTTATTAGTTAAAGATACATGAATATTAATTAAGAAAGAAAAGTAATATAAATTTTTTTAAAAACATATATATATGTATATATAATTTATTATTATCAAATAAATTAACCACTTTTCTTAATTACGATGAATTAGGTAATTCAATTCTATATATATAAGTTTCGATTTGTTTAGGCTTTCGTATGCCTGGATTGATTTGATACCTGAATCAATATAATCGGGTTTGTAATTTTAAAAGGTTTAATATATTGTTTAATTTTGAATTTTTTTTTTATAATTTTTAGTTATATTTTTAAATTAAAAAATTTATAATCAAATCAATCATATTTTTATATTTTTTTAATTTAACCTTTAAAGTTAGAAATTCATTTATTATTTGTAAAATCTCATAAGACATTTCTTACATTTTTATATTAGGATAACTATGCGGTAATTTAGTCCTTAAGTATGATATGTGTTTTTTTTTTTTTTGAAAATTTTATTCGAGTCAGCTAAAATTAGTTTCATATTAATATTTTACTTTAACGTTAATCCAGTTATGGGCTTTTCTGTTTTTGGAGTCCATCAGCTCCTGCATTTGAATAGAACATTGTAAATGGGCTCCCACTGTCAAATTTGAAGCCCTCACACTTGACTATTGTTTTGATTTCTGCTGATGATAATGGCAGCAGCTCTCAACAATTGTTACACAGCTTCGCTTTATTTTCAACCAACATGGATTCAGAAAACTAGTAAAGGAGGGAACAAAATTGAACAAATTATAACATTCATGATCATATTAATAAATTGGTTAGCATTTTGTTTATTACACTACATTTATTTGATTTAAGTAAAATTTAAAAATATAAATTAAAAAATATATATAAAATATAAAATAAACTATATATGTAATTTTTTTTCTATCCTACTAATGTCTTAAGACTTTATCTTAAACTAATCTGATTAGATCTAAAAATTAGTAAAATCTGATCAAAAATTATTTTTTTAATAATTGAATTCAAGAATTCAAATACTGTCCAAGGATTCTATACATATAAATTAATTTAACATGAAAAAGTTTTAAAAGTAGTTATTAATACAGTTTAACATTTTTAATAAAATATAAGAATAAGTGCTAAATATTTAATGATAAAATTAATAATCATAGATTATTATATTGTAACGCCGGTGATCATTGATTTGGGTACTCATGGTACAAAGCAACAAGCTAATCAACAGAGAAAATATAATTCGATTTGAAAGAGAAATTCATTACCATTACACATATACTACAAAGCTAAACCTCTTTTGGTTTATCTCTAGCAGATGGTTCATATCATACATGAGCATTTTTATTTTTTAACAAAATTTCAGGGGATGAGTGGTAATCCCATTCCAACTGCAAGACATAGAAGCATTGATATGTACTAATGACTAATATTCATCACTCTTTCTGTGAGGCTTAGCAAAGAGAAACACTCAAATGTTTGCTGTTGAGAGAAAAATTGTCCATTCTTTGGAGCAACTTACTCTTAAGCATCAATGGTCACAATGATTTTGGGTGTGGAACAAGGGTCTGCTTCTTCCAGCATTTGAACCAACATTCTCATTGACGGTCTTGAAGCTGGAATTTTGGCCGTGCATAATGTTGCAATTCTTAACACCTTCATGGCATCCTCTTTGAAATGTTTTGCAATGGTTGGATCCACCAATTCAAGAGCATCTTCTCTGTTCCTAATTTTGCTGCACACCCAATACACAATGTCATGGTTCTCTCCAAATTCTGGCTCCATTGGCCTCTTCCCAGTTACCAACTCCATCAGCACTACCCCAAAGCTGTAAACATCACTCTTCTCTGTCACCTTACAAGTGTAGGCATACTCTGTCATAACAAAAATCAACATCATCAATCTTCTAGCACAATATGCCAACAAATGAAAATCCTATAAACATGTATGACAGACTAATTATTTTAACAATACTTATACTAAGCTCAATCACCAAAGTACTTGTACATGATCTTATTTTTAAGTGTACATTTTTGTTTCATTAAAAACATTAACCTAGGAAGTTTAGCACAAGTGCATGGAGTCGAAACTGGAGTCGCATATTTGATATGGGTAGGATCACTATAGACATCAAAGCTCTTCTTCGGAGTATTTAGCATTAAAGCTCTTCTTCCGAGTATTTAGCATAGTAGCATATTTAAAACTCGAACTAAAAATCACTAATTAAGTTAGAACAATGTCTTACCAATCGATTCATGTGCTCATTGGTACTGGACTTTACCCCTAAAATGAGTCGGGAAAAAAAGCATTAAACTAAGGTGATTTAAAGCTTACCAGGAGGTATGTATCCAAGTGTTCCAGCAATGACATTGGTCCAATTGCCTGCTCCTCCATGCAGAATCTTGGCAAGGCCAAAATCAGCAATTCTTGGCTTCCATTCCTCATCCAGCAATATGTTACTTGATTTGACATCCCTATGTATAACAGGTCTATCACACCCATGGTGAAGGTACTCCAATCCTCTAGCAGCACCCAATGCAATGTCATACCTAACCACCCACCCCATCTCAGACTTCTTCTTGCAGGTGTGCAACCTGTCCCACAAGCTCCCATTTGGCATGAACTCATACACAAGCAAACTGCTATCTTCACTTGTGATGCTACAATACAGCTTCACCACGTTCACATGCCTTATAGAGCTAAGAGTGGCCACTTCTGCATCATACTCAGGTGACCTTGAACTCCTCCTTAGTATAGCTGAGGTGCTCCTACAACTTTCCCTCTCACTTGGATTTGAAGTCCATATGTGTTTCACTGCAAATTCTACCCCATTTTTAAGCACAACCCTATAGACATTCCCGGATCCTCCTTTTCCAATCAAATTCTCACCCTTGATCCCATCAACGATTTCATTCTCATTGAAGTTTAGCACATGGTACTGCTTCACTTCCCAGGAAGTAGTCTTGAGTGGCTTCTCAAACTTGTTCTGCCTCAGTTTTGTGAAGACAAAACATGCTCCAAGCAGAACCATTACAACAGCAATGAAACAGACTACTATGTTTCTGAGACTCCTGGAGCTTCTAGATTCCACTGAACATGATCTGAAACCTTTCAAAGTCTGGCTGCATAAGCCAGGGTTTCCCATAAATCCATCTTTGAAGGCTGAAATAGCTAGTGATTCTGGTATGGAACCAAGCAACTGGTTGTTTGATAAATCAAGAAGGCTAAGTTTCAGAGATGATAAACTAGTTGGAATTTCACCAGAAAACCTGTTTGAGGACAAGTTCAATGAATTGAGGGTTGGAAGAGAACCAATACTAGATGGTATAGTCCCAGAAAGAGAGTTACCAGCAAGGTTTATCTCATTAAGAGAAGTACAAGAACCAATGGAATCTGGTACAATACCAGAGAGTTTGTTCCCATTCAAATTAAGACTAGTTAGTTTCTTCAAGTTGCCAATGTTTTCTGGGAGGTGCCCAGAAATTTGATTTGAACTTAGCTGAATTGACACCAGTGAATATGCTTCTGAGATTTCCAATGGTAACACACCTGAGAACTTATTGTTAGATAACAACAATTGATCCAGAGATTTTGCTTTGACAATATCAGATGTCACTGGACCTTCTAGCTGGTTCATTGCAAGATCAAGTAGTTTCAGATTTGGCATGCCCCATATGCCTGAAGGAACTACACCCGAAAGTGAATTCCTACTGAGGCGAAAACGAGCCAAAGATGTGCAATTTGCATATGTTTCTGGTATAGTTCCAGTAAAGGTGTTGTTCAAGAGCGCTAGTTCATCAATTTGGTTGTTCTTGCACAAGTGAGGTGGTATAGGACCAGAAAGAGAATTGTCTGAAACATCAATGTATGTCATGCCTAGCCATGATCCTAGCTTCTGAGGGAGAGGACCGGAGAGATTGTTACCATAAAGAGAAAGTTCTGTGAGATTTTTGAAATCTCCAAGCTCCTTTGGAATTTCACCTGAGAACTTGTTCCAAAAAAGCTGAAGGGATGCAAGGTTTGTCAAGGACCTCACCTCAGAAAGATCACCTTCAAGCTGATTACTAGAAGCATCAAAGTTAACAAGACTAGTAAGGTTGCCAAATCCAACAGGGAGTTTCCCACTCAAATAGTTATCATACAACTCAAGCTGCCACAGCTTTTGAAGCTTTCCGATATCAGCTGGAATCTCGCCAGACAAATGGTTGTCAGAAAGCTCGAGATTCTGAAGCTGAGTGAGATTCCCTATCCCCAAAGGAATATTCCCAGTGATGCTGCAGTTTGTGAGGTAAAGCCAATACAACTTTTCAAGCCTTAAGACCTCCAAAGGGAAAGGAGATTCCTCCAACAGGTTATCTCCAAGACTCAGGAACTCAAGACTTGTTAAATTCCCCAATGATTTCCATGGAAATGCACCAGAAACTCCACTAGAGTTTAAATTCAAGGACTCCAGCTTGTGCAAAGGTGACAAATCAGGCACTGCACCAGTGAAGAAATTCATGCCCAAATCCAAGTGCTTCAAGTTGGTGCACTTCCTCAACCCCTCACTGATGCTGCCATGCAAGTGGTTGGACCCCAAAGATATCTTCTCCAGCGATTGAAGCTCGCAGAGCGAATCAAAAGGAACAGTGCCCTCAAGTTGTTGCTGCGCAAGGTTGATTTCTGAGACAAAACCTTTGGAATTGCATGAAATCCCGGTGAATTGGCAGGGAGAGTTTGCTTGAGTCCATGAAGTGAAAACGTTTGCATTGGAACTTTGGATAGAGGACTTGAACTTCATGAGTGGTTGAAGCTCATCTGAGAGGGAGGGAGCAACGAGGCAGAGGAATAACAGAGTGGTGAGAATAATGGGCGGTGAGCCGTGCCGGAAAATATCTCCGGCGAACATGCCGGCGGTGATGGGGGTTGTTAGAGTTGGGTGAGTGGGTGGGAATGGAATGGAGGGTCGGTTGTAATGTTGAAATTTGGGTTTGGTTTCACACAGAAAATGATCCACGTGCATGCAACAACAGAATCATGGGCATGTATGGACAAACAAGGTTTCAACATTGACGGTGCTTGCTTATTAGTTGTGTCTCGCTTGGAACTTGGAACACTTCACTTTGTCACATTTTAGTTACGCCTCAATTTGCATCATTTCTCCTACACTTGTTAATACATATGCCCCCACCTCAAATACAAATTTCTACCAACGTAATGTGGGACAAAATTTATATTTGTTTTGAGAAAAAAAAAAAAAAATTGAGCACATTTTATTATATTAAACAGATAAGTGATTGATCAAAATGTTTACCAAAATGAGGAAAAGACATGTACCATAATAAAAGAGACCGTTTGTAGAGAAGAAAAAGTTGTTACATTTTAGTTAGGCAATTGTAGTGTCAAGTAAGTAAAATGCATTATATATAAAGTATTTTAAGGTAGCAAAGTCCTTTGTAGAAAAATTGGGTTGGCGCAATAGGGTAAACTTTACTAGAGTGTGAAAAATTGAACTGGGTCAAGGTGACCCAGAACAATTGTTCCAACTCTCAAATCATTGTTACTTGGAAGAAATAACACTGGTTTAAGCATTACAAAATCAATATAACCCACACTAGCTTATAGCAGTGAAATAGTATTTCAATTTAATATTTTTCTTTTCATTTTAAGCTTACAAATTTTCTCATTTAACGTATATTTTTAATGTCACAATGTTAATTTTTATGATAGTTTTTTTTTAATATTATACTGTTTATTTAAAAAAGTTTTAACAAAATATTTAATTGTTAAAAATAAAGAAAATATGTAAAGCAGAAATGGAAGTGTAGCCGCCGAAGTTGACCATCCTTTGGGTCCATTTCATTTCATATTAGATCGGTCAATTCCATTGCAACCATCACATCATAAAAAGGAACATCATTTCGGGGAAGGTTCAATATTTTTGTTTAATTACTCATGTAATTTTATAATTATAAGAAATTTATTTTTTTATTATCTACTTTTTTTTCTTTTAGTCTTTACATAAACATTTCTAGCTTTCATTTAATTCTTTCGTTAAAATTTTTTTTAACACCATTAATGATAAATACATGATATTGACACATTGTTAATAAGAGTGACATACATTGTATATTATATTTTAGTTTTTATTTTAAACATTTTTATATTTTAGTCCTTATATTTGAATAATTTTTATCTTTTTAATTTTTATATTTAGAAATTATTATTTTTTCTTATACAAACACTTATTTTTATTTATTTAAGTTCCTATCAATATTTCTTATTTCTCCCTCCTCTTTCTAATCTTTTCTTCATGTTTCCTTTTCTCTTTTTACCGATCAACACCAATTTTGTTATTTTACATTGTAAATTTTGTTCATTCTAAATCATCTTACATGAATTAATTTTTATTAATCCTAAACTAAATTAGTCTTAAGGTTGTAAAATTCACATGTGTTACTTGATCAAGATAAAGTAGTCGACAAGTAACAACTTATTATTCCTTAAAGTGAGAGGACTTACTACATCATTTTAATCTTCTTGTATACAATATTTAGAAACATGAAAATTTGCATTTAAATCATTTTCTATATCACATAACTACCATGTATGAGAGCCTAATCGTGTCTGAGGTAGTAATGTGTAACAAAAGCATTTTCATTTTCAAGTTACTAACATTTTAACAACCATCGATTTGTTTTTTTTTTTTTTTTTTTGCAATTTTACACTTTTAGTTTTAATTTCAATTTTGTAGTAGTGCTAGAGAACCTAGAGATAATAGAATTGCATTACAAAATAAAAAGAAAAGAAAAAATAGGAGAGAGACTAAAACATTCTTTTATTCTCATATAAATACTAAAATGAGTAGTTTGCAAGTGAAGAAACTAAAAATAGAGGTCGCAAAGCATAAAAATGTAAAAATAATAAAAGTATAAAAACTAAAACATAAAATGTAACACATATCAATATCATGTCAATAACACTTTAATATCACGTTATCTACAGTTAACAATGTTAAATTCTTTTTTTTTATATAATGGAATGAATCAAAAGAGAAGTTCAAGTGTTTGTATAAAAAATATTAAAAAAAATTATGGTTTTTAATTTTATGTATTGGAACTAAAATATATTTTTAAAAACTAATTAAATCTAATTTTTTTAAAACTTTATTTACAGCTGTTTGAAAACTTTTGAGCTATAAACTATATTTTATGTATTATATATATATATAAAGGTTATTTTTATAATTAAATTTGCTTAAATACTTTCGCAAAACACTTGTGACATAAAATAATTTCAAATAAACTCTTTCAAACTAGATGAAGTGGCTAGATCATATATAAACAGTATTTTGGTAGAAAATCAAAATTCAACTGCTTTGCCACCGTAATTTAGAAAGAAAGAAGAAAAAAAAAACACTTTTTCTAAAATATCTAGTTAGAAAAAGTAATTATTGAAGAAGAAAGTGGAAAGCAATGAAAGATACGTTTATCTAATTTAAACTATTCATTGACTAACTATATAATTTTGCATATAAGGACAATAGCAAGCAACAATTTACCCATGATATAGTAACTTTCAGATATTAGGTTAAATACTTAAATATATATCTTTTTCATATATGGTGGAGTGTGGAGAAGTAGATATGCGTATGCCTATTGCCTACCATCTTTGAAGTTTGAATTATATGCCCATCGTCGATTATTAGTTTAAACTCGTGTTCTCATCCTACCATTTTGTCTACGCTCATGTTAACATCACATTTTCAGACTTTATCCATCCAAATAAGTTTTTTAATTTTACACAATTTTTACACAAGTTCCACATTTTACTTGTTATAAATTATTAAAATGACCAGTCTGTTAGAATAATAGCAATGCCAAGTGAATTATTCATGTTCTTTTTAACTCCTAAAACCCTATGTTAAATAAAAAATTTAACAGCTCTTTAATTATATATATATATATATATATATATATATATATATATATA